ATATGAAGTGAAACGATGAGATATAATGATCATACTGATCTCCAGGCTAGTCCATTTTTGAACCTTCCGATCATCTTGACTATTGTAGCCATCAAGTGTGGGGCATACCTTGAAAGTTACTCAAACTATCTCTCATAAGTTCTTATTTGAGCGGTAGAAACTCTAAATCCTTGAAGTCTCTCAAAGCTTGAGGAAAATATTTTGCTATCACCTCATCCTTAAACTACTCCCAAGTCAGATTATGATGTTGCTTTTCGGTCCTAACGCATAAGACAGACTCCTAGCAGTGACGGGTGCTCCAACAAATATAAATTCTGTGCATAAAATCTTTTGTGCATCTGTACAAGCGCAAAGTGTCGAAAGATGCATTTCAGACCTCTAATTCATTCTTCAACAGCCAATGGGTCAGAACCACCATCAAAAGTAGGAGGCTTGTACCTATGAAACTACTTAACCACTGAGACAGCTACAGGACAAACAGAGGTTCATTTTGCTGTCGCGGTACATTTTGTGGTGGATGTGCTTGATTCTATCTACACAACTCTTATATCACTCCCAATAAGTCACACATCAAATTTGTGTGGGTATGTGGTGCCATTTTATTAAAGAATTTAATATTAAGCCACTCGTCACTACTAGTATCGAGTCTTACATGTCACACATATATTCTCATAATATATTTCATAAATTTAGCAAGGAAAAACGTGAACATCTTAAAATTTAAAAGTAGGCAATTTAAAAGATTTAAATTATACAAAAAGTTTGAATAAATTTCTCTTCTTACCCCTTTACATACTTAGAGTTGTTGTGGATTGGTGGTTGTCGAGTGCCAAGGATCGTTCAAATTCTTACATATTCAAGAACTTTAATAAAAAAATATCACAATTTTTTTGAATTTATGTATTTTTTAAGAAAATCGTTAATTATTAGTAAATATCTCGCAAGGTTAGGATAAACACATAATCATTTATTACATGTAATATCCAAAATATGAAAATTTAATATTATATTTTCATTTCCTTTTTTAAAACTTTTTTTAATATTTCAGCAATGTTCAAGGTGAACAATGTTTTGTCACATTTCAGGACTTTTTTTAAAATTCAAATTATGAAAATATATATGGGTCTACAGAAAATTAAACCGTGCTCTGATACTAAACTGTAATGACCCAGGCTTATAAATTCAAGTCACTAACGAAAAAATTCTTAATAATTTTATTATTTATGAAGTTGTGTATGAATAGTTTACACAAAATTGATTGGCAATTTCCCCTATTCTTTAATTAATTTATTTATCACATAACTAGCATACAACTCAAACTCAAAACTAATTTGCTCCAATGAACAGTAAGTGCATGAAGTAATTGCTCGTGTGTTATAAATTTTGTAGGAAACATAAGCATTGTTCGTCAGCATTGAAAGACCAATAATATTTACCACAAATGGCGATGAATAAGCAAACTTAATAATTAATATGCCCACCATCAAGTCAACATAAGGAAATATATAGCCAAATAAACTCATGTTCCAAATTCATAAAAAAATTATTCATATGTTAAAAATAATAAAAAATTATTTTGTTACATCGGATTAATTATTGAGTTCCATACCACGACTGCATATCATCGCCAACCAACCAACAATCGGTTCTAACCTGTGAAGAGTAGGGAAAAATGGTGAGTACATGAAAATGCTCAATAGGACACGAAATAATAGTGCAATCCCGGATAAAAGATTTAAAACATGAAATATCATACCGTCATTATATCTTTAGAAATCTATAAGAGCTCAATAAATAACATATATGTGGTACCGGATGACCATAACATACATATCATACTATATTTTTAACTTTCATCAGCATAATAATTTAACAATATGAAAAAATAATAATTTGAAAGTGATAAATCACTTGAGCCTCATAATCCTACATTGTTAGATCAATTAAATTTTTGAAATATAAAAACAAAAATTTAAAATTTAAAAAAATCATGCTCTAAACTTGTTTTCTGCAGGTTGCCATGTACGCGCACGCACGCATGCGCGCAGACACATATATATAGGGGTGGGCGCGGGTCGGTTCGGTTCGATTCGATTTTTTTCGGTTCCAGAAATTTTCGGGTATTTAGTAAATGGAACCGTCGGTTCCAAATATAATTT